CGCTGGAGCCTGGAGGAGGCAGCTGGAGCCGTGCCCGGGGCCTGGGCTGAGCGCTGGCTCCAGTGCCCATGGCTGCCACTGCCTTGGTTTCCCACCCCCTGGGGCTGTGTTTCTGGCTCTGTCAAGGGGGTGTGAGTGACAGGAGCACCTGCCTCCAAGGAAGCCCCCGGAACAGCACCAGACTCCCCTGGCTGCTGGGTAGGGCTGGTTTCTTAGAGGCGATTGGCTGCCAGGGTGGGGTTCTGGGAGCTGTCAGCATCTGTGGGTCCCGGGCTGCGGGGGAGCTGGCTCCTTCCTGTGACCCCACTGGTCTTTCCTTTGTCCTTGCCCTTCTCCTTGCCTCTCTGTCCCTCCCCTCTTGGAGGCCTCAAACCTGATTGGGGGGCTCTCTCTCCCCTTCTCTGTCCTCTGTTCCTATCCAGTCCAGGTGGCTGCTGTTCCTCCCCTGACCTGGGAGCCCTGGGGTCAGAGCCCTGGGCGTCAGCATCCGGGAGCAGATGCCAGGAACTGGCTCAGGGCTCAGGTTCAGAGACAACTCTTTCCCGGGACTGAAGGAAGCTCCTTAGGCCAGGTGCATGGATTGGAGTCCATCTGAGGACAGCATTATCACAGAGAAATGGTCACGAGTCAGGCAGCTCCCAGAACTGGAGCAGGTGCTGAGGACCCCACTCCATGACAGGTGCGACAGCTTTGCTGGACAACAGGAAGTGAGGTGGGGAGATCAGCACCAGGGCTCCAGTTCAGTCCCCACACCTGCCAGGAGGGCACCTCTTAACTAGTTAATTGCTCAGTGCCTCATTAATGAACTGGCCTTGGGGCCTTGTGCTGCAGCCCCAGCCCCGTGGCCATGAGGAATCTGTGGGTTGGGAGTGTGGGCCCAGTGCCAGCACCTGGTCCAGTCCATGGCTTCCCCTGAATTTTCTTTAACACCTGGTAAGGCCTCCCTGATGTCGCCTTTTCATCCTAGGTGGAGCAGAGGTAGGCTAGGTGACGTTTCACCAAATTAGGAACGTCCGAGCGAAGGGCCTTGTTAGCATCTGAGTTCCAAGACTCTCTGCACCTTGGCTGCTGCCCCGGTCCGGTTTCTCCAGAGACCAGGTAGGGGAGGCCCCAGGAGCTGGTGTAGGGTGGAGCCTCAGGGCGTCCTAGGTGCTGGGACCTCCCTTCTGCTGCCCCCACCTGGAAAGATCGGGCGACCAGATGAGGCTTTAGGAGTGTGTGGATCCTAGATGGGTGAGTCTGAGCAGGCATGGGCTCCACCTCCGAGTGGGCGGCACCATCATCAGTGGGGACCTCGGAGACAGGAGGGCGGCAGAGGAAGGGCGAGCTGGGCTCTCTCTGTGCCTGCGGTCTTAGCTCTCCCAGCTCAGGGTCAGAACACAGGTCCTGAGCCTTCTGATCTGGAGCTCAAACCCATGGACCCTGGGCTCACGGCCAGCAGCCTGAGTCCGAGAAGGACACCAGGGGGTCCGGGGTCCTGCGGGCTTGGTCTGTGCCTGGCACCCAGTGCTCTTGGTTCCCCGCCTTGAAGACAGCGCACTGGGACTACACAGCGCCATCACCAAGTGAGCCCCTCCCCTGCATGGCTCTCTGTGCTGTGGGTCTGACTCCTTGCAGAGGGTGGTGGGATGCATTCTGAGTTCTCTGGGGACCTTGCTGGGTGCACTGCTGCGGGAGAGGCCGGCATGGGAGTTCTGCGGTTTGGGAAAATTCTGGTGGTGCCCAGGACAAGCCCTCCATCTGGCGTCCTCAGAGTGCCCTGGGGATCCCTGCAGTGGGACGTGCAGACCCAGAGGGTGCCTGGGGCGGGGTGGATGGGAACCCCAGAGCCACCCCTTGCACAGGCGTCCACTGAGCAGCTGCACACCAACAGGGCTGTGGTAGCGGGCGGCTCTTCCCACTCTCGCCCAGGGATTAGAACCACCTGCAGGCTGGAAGCCCAGAGGCCCGGGCATCTCCCCGGGGAGACGCAGGTGTTCCATATCAGGGAGAGTTTATAGTGGTCACCTGGGTCCCAGGAAACGCTGAGCGCGGCCTTGCATTGGTGTGGGGATGGCAGGGGGTGTAGTTTGGGCACAGCTAGGAGCAGGCCTGGGGCTGTGGGGTCCTCCTGGGGCAGGGCGGCAGCACCTCTGATTTAGCCCTGCAGAACTTGTTTCTGTCTTCCCGAAGCCCAGTCCCACGACTGCACACTGCAGAGAGGGGGAAGCCGCAGGGCGCATGCTCCTGACCCAGCGCCCTGGGGAGTCTCCTTCCAGACCTCTTACTGCGCATCCGTGTGTCCAATCAGGAGCTGGGGACGCCGGGGTGGAGAACCCGGGCAGGGCCAGGCCGCCCCGCTTCGAGTCCTGGTTCTCCTGTCCGTGCCTGGGTGTCTGGGGCCATGCAGCGTCTGTGTGGGGCCGGCATCTGTGACGTGGGCACAGGCTGTGAGGAGGCAGCGTGCATGTGCGTAACCAGCAGAGCACATGTGGCGCACGTGCGGCCTGGGCGGGCTCACTGCAGACACTTGATCCTGGAGGCTGCTCCTCGGGGCCTGGGTCCCTCGGCTGTCACAGTGCCCATGGGAACCACCCCTTCCTGTCTCCACAGGGTGGTGTCCGAGCATGGACACCCAGGATTCGGCATGGTGCCGCTGCTCTTCACAACTCCCAGGGGTCTCTGAGCAGGCGTGCACACACCCTGCACATGCAGCCTCAAGAGGGTCTCTGGTGGACACAGCTGGGAGAGGGCAGGTTCATGCAGAGGCCGAGTGTACATGGCTTGTTAAGAAGGCCGTGCCCCCGGCCCCCTGTGTGCCGGCACTGGAGGGCTCTCATCCCCACAGGCCAGCGGGCAGCATGAGCGCTGTCCCTGCAGACGCTGGGGTGTGGGTGCTGGGGTCGCATTCATGGGCCCCCCTCTTCCCTGCACGTGGAGCGTTCGTGTGGCCAGGCCCGTGGGTGTCCTGCAGGATGCTGGGTCATGGGCTCTGCCTGTGGCTGTGTGGCAGCTGTGGGTTCTGAGGTCCCGTCACGAATGGGAGGTCCTCGTGTGTCACCAACACCCATTCTTTGTGATTGCAAACACTTTTTTAAAATCAATGTTTAAAAAGATGTATTTATTGGCTGGTACGGCGGCTCACTAGGCTAATCCTCCACCTGCGGCTCTGGCACCCCGGATTCTAGTCCCAGCTGGGGTACCGGCTACTATTCCCGGTTGTTCCTCTTCCAGTCCAGCTCTCTGCTGTGGCCCGGGAGTGTAGTGGAGGATGGCCCAGGTGCTTGGGCCCTGCGCCTGCATGGGAGACCAGGAGAAGCACCTGGCTCCTGGCTTTGGATCGGCGCAGCGCGCCAGCAGTAGCAGCCATTTGTGGGGGTGAACCAACGGAAGGAAGACCTTTCTGTCTGTCTCTCTCTCTCTCTAACTCTGCCTGTCAAAAAAAAAAAAGTTTTATTAATTTGAAAGAGTTAAAAAGAGAGAGACAAAGAGTCTTGCATCCATGGTTCAAATGCCAGTTGGCAGCAGTGGCTGGAGCTGTGGTGATCTGAGTCAGGGGGCCAGGAGCTTCTTCCCAGCCTCCCATTGGGTGCAGGGACCAAGGACTTGGCTATCTTCTAGTGCTTTCCCAGGCCACAGGACTGAACTGGACGTGAAGTGAAGGAGCCGGGACTCAAACTGGTGCCCATAGAGGATGCGGACCCAGGCAGCAGCTTTAGCCACCACGCCACAGCACCGAGCCCAAACACTCCTTCTTGCCTGTCTTGTCTTTCATATCCCTTATTGCACGGAGCCTTCCTTTGAGGTATCACTCACGTACTGTGGATGTGACCCTGTGAGGCGTCCCGCACACTGGTTCTAGGTGCACACCTGTCTCTATCGAGCTCACTGTGTGAGAGCTGGGCTCAGGGAGGCTGCGGATGGCGCAGTGACAGACACTGGACTCGGATCCCTTTCTTTCTCCCTGGCTTTCCTCTCCCCGACGAGGGCGTCTGCAGACCGAGCCCTGGGAGAGTGGAGGGAGGGTATGAAGTGGGACCAGTAGCCTGAGTAGGAAGTGCTAGCGTGGCCGGGGCTGCTCCCTCCTGGCTGCGTGGGCGCTGCTGGGGAATCAGAGCCCCGGAGACCCCACAAGATGGCGGCACAGGTGAGTCTGGACCTAGGGTGCCTTGGAGGGTGCCTAAAGTGCACCCCAAGGCAGCACTGGAGAGATGGGGTCTCTGCTATTTAGGAAAGTACTGAAGGCTACAAGGTCACTGCTTAACATCAGCCTCACCCTGTCTGCTCCACAGCTCAGGTCACATCCGCTGTCCCCATCTGGGGACAAACACAAGGCAGAGTGAACCAAGGTCCTGGGTGATGGGGCCCAGTGTCCCTGATCTTCAGTGGTTCAGGGCTGTCCCTGGGGACGTCCATCTGCAGGCCCCTCCTCCTCCTGTGTGTGCAGGGAGAGTGAGTTCTGGCATCTCGATGCCCACATGACAGTCTGCCTGTGTGCCCTTCCCTGACACCAGGGAGGCAGAGCAATCCCCCCCGCCCGGGATGGGGGGCTCAGGCTCCAGGTCCAGGGGCTGCCGCCCCTCCCCCACTGGCTCCCTGGCTCCCTGTGGAGCTGGGCCTCTGCCTCAGGCTCAGCTTGCAGTCACAGCCTCAGCCCCACCCCTGCAGACCTGGGCTGTGGGCATTGGCCCCTCCTTCACAAACAGGGAAACTGAGGCCGAGATGAAGAGCCAGGCCCCTCCCCAGTGAGCGGTTCCTCCCAGGCCCAGGTGGCTGCTGATTCCTGCCCCACCCAGGGAGCAGCTGGGGCAGAGCCGGGGCGTCAGCACCCGGGAGCAGCTGCCAGCCCTGGGCCCAGGGCCTCAGTGTGGAGGAGACAGCTCCACCTGTGACAGAGGAACGTCCTTAGGCCAGTGCATGGAGTGGAGTGTATCTGAGAAGAGCATCGTACAACAACGATGATACAAGAACCAGGCAGCTCCGGACATGGAGCAGGTTCTGAGGTTGATCATCCACGACAGGTGCACAGCACTGCTGGACACGGGAAGTGGGTGCCGAGATCAGCGCCATGGCCCCACGCAGTGCCCACAGCTGCAGGGCGGCCACGGCTGAACTAGTTAATTACTCACAGCCTAAGTAGTGACCTGGCTACGGGGCCTTGTGCTGCAGCCACAGCACAGTGCCAGGATGAAGCTGAGTTGGGTGTTGGCCCAGTGCATGAGCCTGGTCCAAGTCCATGTCTTCCCGTGAATTTTCTTCAGCACCTGGTAAGGCTTCCCGTGATGTCATTCTTCTGACTAGAGGTAAAGTGAGGTGGCTGGGTGACGTTTCAATGGAATTACCAACGTCCGAGTGCAAAGCCGTGTTTTAGGATCTTGGTGCTGCGGCTCCCTTTGGACCCCGGCCACTGAGCTGGGACGGTTGTTCGGGCGCTGCCAATGAGGATACCCGGAGAGGCAGGGGGCGCCCAGCCCAGGGTGGAGCCTCAGAGCCTCTGCTCCTGCTGAGCCCGCCCCTCTCCTGCCCCCGAGATGGGAAAGACTGAGCGACCCGGGTGAGTTTTGGTGGAGCCCAGATGAGTGGGTCATCACCGTGGGGGTCCGCCCTTGCCGTGGGCAGCACCACCCTGCCCACCCAGAACTCGGAGAGAACAGGGCCGCAGGGCAGGGGCAGCTCGGGGCTCTCATGGAGCCTGCGTGTCTCAGTGCTCCCCCCTCAGGGCTCAGAGCCCCCGGTGCTGTGGCTTTTCCACTCCAGAACTCCCACCCGTGATCCTGGGACTCCCGGCTGCAGCCCGAGACCGAGAAGAACCCGGTTGACCTGGGTCCTGGGTCCTGGGTCCTGTGGACTCAGTCTGTGCCCGCTCCCAGCTCTCCTGGTTTTCTGCTGGGCAGACAGACGCCCCTGGGACTTGGCAGACGCCAGCGCAGGTGAGCCCCTCCCCCTGACAGACCCCTTTCCCTGCCCCACTCTCTGTGTGTGATTTGGCTTCCAGGGAACCGTGGCTAGAAGAGATTCTGAATCCTCTGGGGACCTTACTGGGTGCACAGGTGCGAGAGAGGTGGGGTCTGGGATTTCTGTGTTCTGGAAGCTTCCATGTGGGGCAGGGGACAAGGAGCACAGTCAGGCATCCTCTGAGCACTCTGCTGATCCCGGCTGTGGACCCTGAGAACCAAGAGGGCCCCCGTGGCTGTGTGGACAGAGACCCCGAAGCTGCCCCTTGCACAGGCGGCCACTGAGCAGCTGCCTACTAATGGGGCCATGGGCACTGAGTGGCGTCTCCCACACTCGCCCTGGGATTCGAAACACCTGCTGGCTGGAAGATAGCGCGTTCTGGGCATCTCCCTGGGGAGATTCAGTGTTCAATATCAGGAATAGTTTGTATTGACTTGCCTGGGTCCCAGGGAATGTTGAGCCTGGGCCTGCATTAGTGTGGGGATTTTATGAGACGGGAGTTTGGGCAGAGCTAGGAGCAGGCCTGGAGCTGAGGGTGTCCTCTTCAGGCCGGGTGCAGGACCTCTGACTAGGCCCCCAGTTCTGCCTTACCAAAGCCCAGTGCTCTCTGACAACCACGTGGACGTGGGGAGGTCTCAGGAGAATGGGTGCCTGCTGGGTACAAGGTGCAGGGCCAGCCCGCGGGAAGGCCTCAGGGTGAGCTCTGGGCTGAGCAGGTGGCCCAGATTCTTGTGATCCAGTGCCCAGGCTGGCAGCAGGGGCCAGGGCACGGGCAGCAGAGAGGGAGGAGAAGGGGCTTCCTGGGGGTCCTGTGGGCTCTGCTCTGGCTGTGGGAGTGTGGTCCTGCCCTAGCAGGCTGCAGCTCCCCAAGGGTGGGAGCAGACACAGCACTGCCCTGGCTGACTCTGCCCCCACCCCACCCCCGGGTCCTCATCTCCAGAGGGGCGGCCCCGGCCTCTGCCAGCACCTGCTCCTGTGTGCAGGAAACTGCTCAGCGCAGGGGACGCCTGGGCCCGAGGCGTCCGTGACCAGGAGTGGGGAGCCCAGCACCCGCGGTCTCAGTGCCATAAAGGGCTTTAGGGAGCCCACGAGCTGCCACTGACACGTGGGTTTCTCTGCTTTGTCTAATGTGGTGCACATTTCCCGGAAGGCCCCCAGCAGTCATGCTCACCACCTGCAGGAAGTGCCGGGACCCGAGCCAGCCCTGCCAGCGTCGGATCCTGCAGTCTGCATGCGATGCCGGCCCCTGCAGCGACACGGCCCTGTCCATCAGTGAGGAGGCGCTGGCAGCACCTCCACCACTCCTGCGGGTTGGGGTTGGCCCTCCAGCCCTGAGGCACACCTGTGGCTGTGGCACGGGGGCGTGGCCCAGACCCCCCAGGCCCTGGCCCATGAGGAGGACAAGGCAGACAGAACTGGTGCTACACATAGCACCTCCAGGAGCAGAGGAGCAGTGGATGTGGGTGGGGCACCTCCCGCTGCTCACCACGGAGCCCCCAGGGCAGCTCTGTGCACCCCTGTCACTGCTCAAAGCTCACTCCAAAGGCAGAGCTCAGCCCAGGCAGGCGGCAAGGCTGCATGGCCCCTACCATGGCCCCACTGTTCTTGAGCCACAATAGCCAATGGCCAGTGACAGCTCTACAGTTGGCAGAACAAGTCTGAGTCAGGGACGGAACCCTCAGCAGGTGCACCTGCAGGGACACCACCACCTGCCATCAGGGTCACCATCCTGTGACAGCCTGCGGGGACAGACGCTCAGCAGCTGACCTACCACAGGGTGACCGCAGAAGCTGGACTCGCCTGCCCTCGGCAGTGACCTCATCCCAAGAGGCACAGCCGCCTCTGCCCATGAGCGCCCCTCCAGGAGGCTGGAGCAGGGGAAGAACAGGCCCAACGGCGGTCACAGCCCTGGGCGCTGACCAGGCCACCAGGGAGGGATCTGCTGCCACCTCTGCCCCTGGTCCTTTGCACCCAGCGAGTTAGAACTTCAGAGTGGGCGTGTGTAAGGGAGGACACTGCACGGTGTCTGTGGTTGGGGGAGATTGGAGCCCTGGGGCTGTCCCTGTCAGGAGGGTGGCAGACGCTCACTGGCCATCAGGGGCAGAGTGGGGCCTTCCAGTGGTAAAGGGACTCGGGCGAGGGACGTCGGGCCCCTGGGTCAGGGTTCTGTCCTCACATCTGGCACCAGGTCTCCAGGCCATGTCCAGCCCTGATGCCAGGCTCAAGGGCAGGGCAGGCCGAATGCAGGGCCCAAGGCTCAGGGAGGCAGGGTACCAGGCCCCAGGTTGCCCAGTGAACTGGATGCATGTGGTGAGCGCCCCCTGCTGGGGCCCTGGAGAGGTGCTGTTGGGCAGTGCTGAGTGCAGGCCCAGGAGGGAGCAGGCACTGCTGAGCTGACCTTCTTGGCCCCTGCTCTGTGCCTATCTGTCCTCCCCTGGGGGGTCCCTGAGCTGAATTTGGGGCTCCCTCTCCACTTCTCTGTCCTCAGAGGGACCCAGGAGCAGCCAGGCCGGGAGCACCGGACACTCCCTGTGCCCTCCTGCCCCTCCCACAGGGAACCCCAGTGGTCGCTCTTGGCCGTCATCCCTTTCCTGGCCTATGGGCGCCATCCCAGGATGGGACTCCTGCCTCCCTGGGTGTCCCATATTGATCCCGTATGGACCTGACCCACCCCCCACGCTGGGAAATGGTGGTGGTCATCCTGCCTCCCAGGCTGGGGCCAGAGTGAGTGAGGTTATGGCTGCGAAGCTCCCAGCAGTGGACGAGACCATAGGGGAGTTCAGGGCAGACAGAGGCTGTGCTGGGGGCTCCCCTGAGATCCGGGGCACCAGGACCTGCAAGGGCCCCTTGCAGCCTCTGTAGTAAAGGACTCCCCACCAGGTTGCACACTGGTAGCCTGTGGGATGGCCCAGGTCAGTCATGTTTGCTGGGGCTCCTGCTGTGCAGAGTTTGTGGTGCTAACACGGGGACCTTCTCTGTCTCCCTCTCTCTGTCCTTCTCTCTCTGCCTTTGAATAAATAAATAAATCCCTTAAAAAAAAAAAAAGTGGAGCAGCTGGGACATGAGCAGACACTCGTACCGACACAGGCCCCGTGAGCCGTGGCTTTACAGCTCCGTCACAGCACCGCTGACTTGAGTGACAGAACATTTTATGTAGCGTCGCGATGCCAGTGACGCGCACCATGGTTTGCGAGCGATCATTCAGGGGTAAAATGAAAGGAGTGGATACATTGAGTCTTCAAAAGGCAAACATTAGGAAAGATTTTAATCCAAGAAATGAAAAGGGTTTGAAATACCCTACACGGTTTAATTTCTCAAAACACCAATATCACTCTCTTCAACCCAAGACAGAATTGTGCAGTCTTTGTCTCACTCAAGTGGAAAGGTTCCTGTGCAAACCAGCAGAGGGCAGCACCGGCTGCAGTTTCCTGCTCTGACATCAGAAGGCGCCATTGTGACGTCATGCCCGCTGCCAGCACAAAGCCTTGGCTTGGCCTGGGTTCTGTCATTTGCCCAGGGAGCGCTGTCCCGGTGACCTGGGGCTGGGAACAGCTGCCTGTGTTTCCCTTGTTTGGTTTTTGTTCCTCCTGCTGCTGTTGTTTTGGTCAAATTTGTTTTTTCTTTTTCTGTTTTGATTATTTGGCTCTTTTTTTCTATTTTGTTTATTTTGATTTCCTCCAGCATTCATAGTCTTTTTCCCTTTCTTATTGATTGTCCTAGGATATTTCCGTTCCATTTGGATTTTTTCTTCACTTTTTTTTTGGGGGGGCTTTCCTCTAGTTTGTGGTTGTTCTTTACATTTTCTCCCATTGTTGGGTTTACATTTTTTGACTTTGAGTTATTTTCCCTCATTTTGATTCCCTTTTTTTTTTTTTTAATAAGACTGTGAGGCCATCTGCTTTGGTTGTTACTACAGTTCAGGTTCTTGGAATTTTTTCTTTATAGTTTATTATTCATTTTTTTGTGTTTCCTCACTTTTAACTGCTTATTAGGGTTGGTCTCCGTGGTGAGTCTAGTTGAGTTCATTTAGTTCATGTTTTCTGTTGGTGATGTGAGATGACTCTGTCCATTTTGTGTTCTGATTTCTGTTCATTTGATTTCTGTTGGTTTCATGTTCATTTGCGCTCAAGGAGTCAGAGCCGGGACAGCTGCTGGCTCGCAGTCTCCCAGATGTCAGCCCTGCTGACCCTTCCTGGGGGAGCCCTGGAGAGGGAGAGGAATCCGGAGGAAGAATCGGATCCTGCTCCTGCCATTTTGGTCAAATTTGTTTTTCTTTTCCATTTTGATGAATTTGTACTTTTTCTATTTTACTTTGTTTCCTGCCACCATTCATATTCATTTTGTGTTTTCTCATTTAACATTTTATTCCACAGAGCAGTCTCCGTGGTTGGTCTGGTGTAGTGGATACAGTTCATGTTTTCTGTTGGTGATGGGAGCAGAGTGAGTTTGTTCATTTTGGTTTCTGATTTCTGTTCATTTGATTTCTGTCGTTACATTTTCATTTGTGCACCACTCGTCTCCCTTCCTGGGAGCCCCGGGAGAGGGAGAAGAATCCCGAGGCCAGAGTCGCATCCTGGATGGGGACTTCCCGGGGCGGGACTGACTGCGGTCCCCCCAGCCCTCTGTGTCCCCAGTGGCTCCCGCGTCTCTCAGCAGAGCGGGGCAGGAGGTGTCATGGCGGCTCCTGGGGCCCGAGCTGAGAAGGCTGTCAGGTGGGACAGGGGCTGTCTGCACAGGGGCGGGAGAAAGTGTTGTTACTGCGAGATGGAGCCTGCGGGGGACTTTCAGCTGTGGCGCCTCTGTCTGCAGGGGAGGGGCAGTGACAGTGGGGCCCCTCTGTCCTGTGCACAGGGGCTCTGCTGCCCTGTCTGCGGTGGCTTTTCAAGGTTCAAGACCAAAGAAAACCCTGAAACTCGATCTGCACCAGCAAGGAGACTTCCTATGGAAGGACCTCTTGGTGGTAAGGGACTCACCCACAGGGGGGCGGGGTCACCCCAGACAGCCAGGGTGTCCACTGGCTTCATGTCTGTGTGCAGGAATGGAGCAGGTGCATGGGAGGGGGTGGGACTCACACTGATGCCCATGGCCCTCATGGGTCAGGGGAGAGTGAGAGGGGCTGTGGGCTTCACCCCTGCAGTCTCTGGAGGCTCCAGCAGCAGCAGCCATACTCCGCTTTGCTGTCTGTGCCCCTCAGCAGCGTGGGCGCTGGCTGTGTGCAGCTCTGTACTCGGGTCTAAGGAGGGGAAGAGACCGCGGAAGATCCCGGCTGGATGGACTCCGAGACACCCATCTTTGGATTTCTTGCCCTTCCGGCACAGGTTTCAAATGTCCCTTGTACTCGTAGCCCCAAGGACAGGACCCCGTGGCTTCTCTGGCTGCCCCCAGGTCACCATGATCGTCCACCGGAAGATGGACTCCGAGACACCCAGCTTCGGAATCCTCGCCCTTCCAGAAAAGGGGTTGAATGTCCCCTATCCTCGGTGCCACAAGGAGAGGACCACTTGCCTCTCTAGCTGCCCTCAGGTCACCACAATCGTCCTCAGGAAGATGGATTCCAATTCACCCAGGTTCAGAGCCCTCGCCCTTCCAGAAGAGGTGTTGAATGTCCCTCGTCCTCACTGCCCCAAGGACGACCCCGTGGCTTCTCTGGCTGCCCCCA